AGAAGGCTCTCTCAGTGGATTCTGCGTCTTTTTTCTCCCAATCTCTCAGGTTTTGTAAGGTTTCCAATGTCTTCAGATCTTTTCTGTGTGATGTATGGGCGCGAGTGCAAGTACGGAGCTCCTTACTTCTCCGCCATCTTGCCCTCTTGTCCTTTACATTACTTTTTAAAAAAATTAATTAATTTATTTTTTAATTGACATTCAAGTTAGTTAGCATATAGTGCAACAATAATTTCAGAAGTGGATTCCTTAATACGCCTTACCCATTTATCCTGTCCCCCCTCCTTCAACCCCTCCAGCAACTCTCTGTTTATTCTCTATGTTTAAGAGTCTCATGTTTTGTCCCCTTCCCTGTTTTTATATTATTTTTGCTTCCCTTCCCTTATGTTCATTGTTTTGTATCTTAAAATCCTCATATGAGTGAAGTCATATGATACTTGTCTTTCTCTGACTGACGAACTTCACTTTAGCATAATACCTTCTAGTTCCATCCACATAATTGCAAATGGCAAGGTTTCATTCTTTTTGATTGCTGAGTAATACTCCCTTGTATACATATATACACATCACATCTTCTTTATCCATTCATCCATCAGTGGACAGTTGGGCTCTTTCTATAATTTGGCTATTGTTGATAGCACTGCTATAAACATTGGAGTGCATGTGCCCCTTTAAAACAGCACACCTGTATCCCTTCGATAAATACCTGTAGTGCAATTACTGGGTCATAGGGTAGTTCTATTTTTAATTTTTTGAGGGACCTCCATACTGCTTTCCGGAGTGGCTGCACCAGTTTGCGTTCCCACCGGCAGTGCCAAAGAGATCCTCTTTCTCTGCATCCTTGCCAACATCTGTTGTTGCCTGAGGTGTTAATATTAACCATTCTGACAGTTGTGAGGTGGTATCTCATTGTGATTTTGATTTGTATTTCCCTGACGATGATGAGTGATGTTGAGCATTTTTTCATGTGTCTGTTAGCCATCTGAATGTCTTCTTTGAAGAAGTGTCTATTCATGTGTTCTGCCCATTTTTTCACTGGATTATTTGTTTTTTGGTGTTGAGTTTAGTAAGTTCTTTATAGATTTTAGATACTAACCCTTTATCTGATATGTCGTTTGCCAATATCTCCTCCCATTCCATCAGTTGCCTTTTCGTTATGCTTACATTACTTTTTATAACCATATTAAATCATTCATTGCATACATTTTGGCTGATTGCTTTTCAAATACCAGATACATTGTTAGGAGCTGTGGACACTGGTGAACATTTAACTATATAGTATCTGCCTTTATGGGGCTTACAGTCTAGTCTTTCATGCTTTGTGTAAGCATTGATTCTAAAAATTGTAATCTAATAAATTATATGTAAATGTTTATAATTTATGCATATTCTTCATTGTAGAGCCAGGTGATATAAGCTTAGTAAGTAAGGAATTGTAATACTATGTCCCTTAACCCTCTGCTACTCAAAGAATAATGTCAAGATTAAATGCATTCTCTCTTCCTACATTCCATGCATTCAAAATAATGACTCATTTGTAATCGTTTTATATTTGGTTTATGACTTTTTTAATAGCTTTTCTGTTTTTTCAGAGGTTTCTAATTGCCTTTTTCTTTCCTCATAGTGTATGCTGTTACCCTGTCATTAAGTTTCTCCATTTTATCATTTATTACTCTGCTGCACATTTTTCATCTTTGAATTTATCTTACCCCAGAGTACCCTGGTTTTGTCCAGAGACCATTTGCTCTCTAGACCTACTACACAGCTATTCCCATGTGCTTTGTTTTCATTATACTCCTGAGACAGTTATTGATTCTTAAATTCATTTTTTAGTTTTAGTGAATTATATCTTCAGGGTAGTACTTAATAAATGAATTAATGTAGGAGGTAAAATATCTGAGTTCCTGTATCATGAAAAAATGTTTTTTATTTTCCCCATTCTTAACTGATATTATGGTTGGTTGTAGAATTCTAGATTCAAAATCAGTTACCGTCAAAACTTTAAAGCAATTCTCCATTGTTAACTAGTGTTGCTGAATTTCTTATTTTCATTCTTGTAACCATTTATTTTTCTAACTCTGAGAGAACTTTTCTTATCTTAAATTTTATAATTATATGTAGTAATATGTCTAATAATAGCTCTTTTTTCATTCATCCTGCTTAGTACTTCATAAACCATTTCAATTGAAAGATTTGTGTTTCAGCTTTTGGAAGATTTCCTCTTTTATGAATTGTTTTCACTTGCTCTCAATTTCTCTTTTTTTTCCTAGAACTCCAAGCAACAGCTGTAGTATTATCTTTTCTTTTTTTGTGTGTTTTTTAATTTTTTTCTACTTTTATTTTTTAGTTTTTTAATATAGTTTATTGTCAAGTTGGTTTTCATATAACCCCCAGTGCTCATTCCAACAAATGCCCTCCTCCATGCCCATCACCCTTTTTCCCCTCTCTCCCACCCCCCATCTGCCCGTAGTTTGTTCTCAGTATTTGTCTCTTGTGGTTCGCCTCCCTCCCTCTTCTTAACTATTTTTACCCCTTCCCCTCCCCTATGGTCCTCTTTTAAGGTTCTGTGTTTCACATATGAGTGAAAACATATGGTGTCTGTCTTTCTCTGCGTGACTTATTTCACTTAGCATAATACCCTCGAGTTCCATCCACGGTGCTATGAATGACCAGATTTCATTCTTTCTCATTGCCAAGTAGTATTCCATTGTATATATAAACCACATCTTCTTGATCCATTCATCAGTTGATGGACATTTAGGCTCTGTCCATGATTTAGCTATTGTTGAAAGCGCTGCTGTGAACATTGGGGTACATGTGCCCCTATGCATCAGCACTCCTGCATCCCTTGGGTAAATTCCTAGCAGTGGTATTGCTGGATCCTAGGGGAGTTCTACTGTTAACTTTTTGAGGAAACTCCACACTGTTTTCCAGAGTGGCTGTGCCAGTTTACATTCCCACCAACAGTGTAAAAGGGTGTCTGTTTCTCCACATCCTCAACAGCATCTATAGTCTCCTGATTTGTTCATATTAGCCACTCTGACCCGCGTGAGGTGGTATCTCACTGTGGTTTAAAAATAGGGAACCTTCACTAATTTGCGTGTCATCCTTGTGCAGGGGCCATGCTAATCTTCCCTGTATCATTCCAATTTTAGTATATGTGCTGCCAAAATGAGCACTAGTATTATATTTTCTATGCATTCTGTAGTTGCTGGCTTGCCTTTATTCTGTTTTCAATGTTTCCATCTTTTTAGGAGTGACATTGGCCCATAATTCATCTTTGTTTAGTTTCCTTGCCTTGTTTTTGTTTTCATATCAAGGTTTTACTGCTTATAATTAAATGAATTTGAGATGGTTTTATTCCTTCTTTCCTTGTTATTCTATTTATTATAGATTTGTATTGGATTAAACCTATTTATTCCGTGAAAGTTGGGCCTAATGCTTTGGTAATATTTTAACTACTGATTCAGTTTTGAATTGTGTTAGTACTACTCAGATTCTCTCTTCCATCTTGAGTCTGTTTTAAAAGGTTATTGTGGGGGCATCTGGGTGGCTCAGTCAGTTAAGCTTCCGACTTCAGCTCAGGTAAAGATCTCACGGTTTGTGAGTTCGAGCCCCTCATTGGGCTCTGTGGTGACAGCTCAGAACCTGGAGCCTCCTTCAGATTCTGTGTCTCCCCCTCTCTTTGTCCCTCCCATGCTCATGCTCTGTCTCTCTCTGTCTCTCATAATAAATAAAAACATTAAAAATTTTAAAAAACAAAAAAAAAGTTTATTGTGGGCTGTCTCAACAGTTAAGTACCTGACCTTTGATCTTGTCTCAAGTCATGTGATCTCACAGTTTGTGAATTCAAGACCAACATTGTGCTCTGTGCTGACAGCACGAGCCTGCTTGGGATTCTCCCCCCCTCCTCTCTCTCTCTCTCTCTCTCTCTGTCTACCCCACCCCCCTTCTTCTGCTCACTAATGTTCTCTGACAAAATAAATAAAACTAAAACAAAAAGTTATATTGTTACTGGAATGTGTCCACTTTGTCAGTGTTCAAATTTATTATGTTAAAACTGTTCATATTAATCCCCTATCTTTTGAAACCTGGCTAGATTGGTAGCTCTGTTTCTTTTTTATGACTAATATTATTTATTTGTGTCTTTTCACAAACTCCGATGAAATACCCTCTCACTCACACACACAGACTTTGAAAGACACAAATAAATTATTTGTCTTTATTATTTGTTATTTTTTATTTGTGTCTTTTCACAAACTCTGATGAAATACCCCCTCCCACACACACACAAACTTTGAAAGATGTAAATAAATAATATTAGTCATAAAAAAGAAACAGAGCTACCAATCTAGCCAGGTTTATAAAGATAAGGGGTTAATATGAACACTTTTAGCATAATAAATTTATTACACTTAAGCTCCTTAATTTTCATGATAGTTTTCACTAATTCACACAGGAAAGTAGATGGTCAAATCCAGAGTCATAAGGCAAGGAAACCTGCCTCACCCACAAATCCTTGCCTTATAAATGGATTTGACCAGCTAATTTGCTGTTACCAATGCAATGCGACTCCATGTATGAGATCCCATGTATTTGCTTGCTTTCTTACATATCCACCGTGCATTGATGGATACTGTGATCGTTTGTCTCAAGACAACAAGAGACTTTAAGGACAGCCACCCATCAGCCAAGCCCTATCTGAATCAGATAACATGCCAGTTAGCCACATCTTCATGAATGAATCCAGTTGAGCCTAGGCTAGAAAAGGCATTATTCAGCCAGACCACAGATTTAGGGGAAACAATAATTTATGATTGGTTTAAAACTCTGAGTTTTAAGGTGACTGCAATAGCTGATACAAGTATGTCTGTTCTGCTGGAAAAAAAACAAAACAAAACATGGTAAGGCAAGTTCCATTCTGGTCTTTTCTTGTATCCTTAATTGATATAGAAGCAAAAGATAACATATCTATCTGTTGTTCCAACAGGAAAACAGACTATTACATTATTGATTTTATTCATTAGACTATTTTAGTAGAAGCAGTCACAAAACGGTAAAAAAACTAAACTAGCATTAAGTTTTAAAAAATGTTATTGGGATGCCTGGGTGGCTCAGTGGGTTAAGCTTCCGACTTCACTTCAGGTCATGATCTCATGATTCATGGGTTCGAGCCTCGTGTCAGGCTCTGTGCTGACAGCTAGCTTAGAGCCTGGAGACTGCTTCGGATTCTGTGTCTCCCTCTCTTTCTGACCCTCCCCTGCTCACACTGTTTCTCTCTCTCAGAAATAAAACATTTTTAAAAAATGTTATCAAAATATACTTTATATAAATTTGACCCATTTTATTTAATAGTTTATAGTCAAGTTGGTTTCCATATAACACCCAGTGCTCATCCCAACAAGTGCCCTCCTCCATGCCCATCACTCCCCTTCCCCTCTCCCCCACCCCCATTAGCCCTCAGTTTGCTCTCAGCATTCAAAAGTCTCCCAGGTTTGCTTCCCTCCCTCTCCCCATTTATTTCTTTCCCCTTCCTCTCCCCCCATGGTCTTCTGATAAGTTTCTCCTGTTCCACTTACAAGTGAAAACATATGGTATCTGTCTTCCTCTGCCTGACTTATTTCACTTAGCATAACATCCTCGAGTTCCATCCACGTTGCTATGAATGGCCAGATTTCATTCTTTCTTATTGTCATGTAGAATTCCATTGTATATATAAACCACATCTTCTTGATCCATTCATCAGTTGATGGACATTTAGGCTCTGTCCATGATTTGGCTGTTGTTGAAAGTGCTGCTATGAACATTGGGGTACATGTACCCCTATGCATCAGCACTCCTGCATCCCTTGGGTAAATTCCTAGCAATGGTGTTGCTCGGTCCTAGGGGAGTTCTATTGTTAATTTTTTGAAGAACTTCCACACTGTTTTCCAGAGTGGCTGTACCAGTTTACATTCCCACCAACAGTGTAGGGTGCCCGTGTCTCCACATCCTCACCAGCATCTATAGTCTCCTAATTTGTTCATATTAGCCACTCTGACTGGTGTGAGGTGGTATCTCAGTGTGGTTTTTATTTGTATTTCCCTGATGAGGAGGGATGCTGAGCGTCGTTTCATGTGTCTGTTGGCCATCTGGATGTCGTCTTTGGAGAAGTGTCTATTCATGTCTTCTGCCCATTTCTTCACTGGATTATTTGTTTTTCGGGTGTGGAGTTTGGTGAGTTCCTTATAGATATTGGATACTTGCCCTGTATCTGATATGTCATTTGCAACTATCTTTTCCCATTCTGTTGGTTGCCTATTAGTTTTGTTGATTGTTTCCTTTGCCATGTAGAAGCTAATTATCTTGATGAGGTCACAGTAGTTCACTTTTGCTCTTGATTCACTTGCCTTTGGGGATGTGTCAAGTAAATTGCTGAGGCTGAGGTCAAGGAGGCTGTTTCCTGCTTTTTCCTATAGGGTTCTGATGGTCTCCTGTCTTCATTGAGGTCCTTCATCCATTTTGAGTTTATTTTTGTTTATGGTGTAAGAAAGTGGTCTAGTTTCATTCTTCTGCATGTTGCTGTCCAGTTCTCCCAGCACCATCTGTTAAAGAGGCTGTCTTTTTTCCATTGGATACTCTTTCCTGCTTTGTCAAAGATTAGTTGGCTGTACATTTGTGGGTCCAATTTTGAGTTCTCAATTCTGTTCCATTGGTCTATATGTCTGTTTTTGTGCCAGTACCATACTGTCTTGATGATGACAGCTTTGTAGTAGAGGCTAATGTCTGGGTTTATGATCCCTCCTGTTTTGGTTTTCTTCTTCAATATTACTTTGGCTATTTGGGGTCTTTTGTGGTTCCATACAAACTTTAGTATAGTTTGTTTTAGCTTTGAGAAGAATCCTGTTGCAATTTTGATTGGGATTGCATTGAATTTGTAGATTACTTTGGGTAGGAATGGCATTTTAACAATATTTATTCTTCTGATCCATGAGCATGGAATGTGTTTCTACTTCTTTGTGTTCTCTTTAATTTCCTTCATAAGTTTCCTATAGTTTTCATCATACAGATCTCTTATATCTTTGGTTAAGTTTATTCCTAGGTATTTTATGTTTTTTTTTGTGCAGTTGTGAATGGGATCAGTTTCTTGATTTCTCTTTCTCTTGCTTCATTATTGGTGTATAAAAATGCAACCAATTTCTGTACGTTCAGTTTGTACCCTGCAACTTTGCTGAATTCATGGATCAGTTCTAGTATGCTTCTGGTGGAGTCTGTCAGGTTTTCTACATAGACTATCATGTCGTCTGTGAAAAGTGAAAGTTTGATGGGGCGCCTGGGTGGCTTAGTCGGTTAAGCGTCCGACTTTCACTTAGGTCATGATCTCACGGTTCGTGGGTTTGGGCCCCGCGTCGGGCTCTGTGCTGACTGCGAGCTCAGAGCCTGGAGCCTGTTTCAGTCTGTGACTCCCTCTCTCTCNCTGATGCCTTTTATTTCCTTTTGTTGCCTGATAGCTGATGCTAGGACTTCCAGCACTATGTTAAACAGCCGTGGTGAGAGTTTCATCCCTGTCATCTTCCTGATTTCAGGGGGAAAGCTCTCAGTTTTTCCCTGTTGAAGATGATGTTAGCTGAGGGCTTCTCATAGATGGCTTTTATGATGTTTAAATAAGTTCCTTCTATCCCGACTTTCTCGAGGGTCTTTATTAAGAAGGGATGCTGTATTTTGTCAAATGTTTTTTCTGCATCTATCGACAGGATCATATGGTTTTTATCTTTTCTTTTGTTAATGTGATTTATCCCATTGATTGATTTGCGAGTATTGAACCAGCCCTGTAACCCAGGAATGAATCCCACTTGATCTTGGTGGATAATTCTTTTTATGTGCTGTTGAATTTGATTTGCAAGCATCTTGTTGAGGATTTTTACATCTGTATTCATCAAGGATATAGGCCTATAGTTCTCTTTTTTTTTGCTGGGTCTCTGTCTGGCTTGGGAATCAAAGTGATGCTGGCTACATAGATGAATCTGGAAGTTTTCCTTCGATTTCTATTTTTTGGAATAGATGGGGAAGAATGGGTATTAATTCTGTTTTAAATGTCTGTTAGAATTTCCCAGGGTAGCCATCTGGCCCTGTTGGGAGATTGTTTTTTTTTTTTCTCTCAAATGAAATATATATTTTATTTTATTTTATTTTTTATTTT